AAACGCTGGCTATTAGGCTCTTTCCGCCCCCTCTTCTGCAAAGATCCCTGAGCCTTGGGAGGGGGTGGATGATACAGATGTCCCCATTTAGGGCTGAGAATCCACAGTCTCTTATTCTCTGCACCTTTACAGTTGTGGGTCTCCGTTAATTGCCGTCTGCTGAAGAAGCTTCCCTGATGAGGGTTGAGAGGTGCTCTAATCAATGTTATGATAAGTCATTAGCAATTCCTTAAATACTATGTCCCCTTAGAATGATAGTAGGTGCCCCCCCCCCAGGACCTATGACCTGTCTGGCCACAGGTTCTTGGCCTCAGTAATGATGTCAGGTATAGCTTCTATCTTACGGAACTAGCGTTAAATCTAGTCAGAAAGTGGTTGGTTACTCCCATGACATTGGTCCTGTGGTTGCACAAGTGGGCATATCTTGCCAGGCCAGGCGTTATTGTAGCTTGCAGGGTTGACAAGTGGGTGAGACTTGTGATCCTTTTCTCTTGGCAGCAGCATGCAAAGCACCGGCCAGCACTATGAGCGTTAACCAATAGGAATGAAGCTTCTAGAAACCAGCTTGATTTCTCCATGTACTAGGACTCAGTTCAAGTAGCGTCTTCAGCTGTAGGGTCTCACCATCAAGTTCTAGAAGGTAGCCATTATCATTGACAATAGCCTATAATGTTTGGGGGGATCTATGGTACCTCACTAGCCAACCCCAAAAGATCTAACCCATTTCTAGCACTGGATTTTTTATCAGCCTGTGGTATCTAGTCGGGGCCTTGTTGCCCCGTTATAGACAACAAAACTCCATTTAAACTCTTTTAGAATTATATTTATTTATTGTACATGGGTGCATGTATGTAGGTGCATGCCTGTCAGTCAGAGGACAGCTTGTGGGAGTTTGTGTCTCCCATTCCACTATAGGACCCAGGAATTGAAGCCAGGTTGCCATGCCTAATGGCAAATACTCACACCTGCTGAGCCATCTTCCTGGCCCTGGTGCCTCCTGTTTGATGCCTTCAGCCCAAATAGGCAGACAGCGTCATACTTAGGCACCTTATTGCATGTGTTCACTGCTCTTCCTGGTTTAATTTTAGATGTTACCTAGTGATTCCTACTGTGGAGGATGAAGACATGGGCTCTTACACCACGCAGGTCCACTTCTCTCCTCCATCCTCTCTGAACAGGTATAGACGCTTTTGTGGTCACATCTGTGTAAGTTACTTGCCTGATTGTGCTTATGTAGTATTTACTGCTGAGTGCTATACTCCGCTGTGTCCTTCACTGTAGAATTTTTTCACCCTGGAAGTGGGATTTTTTTCATATTTTTTATTTGGTTAATTTTTTTTGTACTTCCTCTGATTCTTTCCAAACTCTCCTGTGGAGTTAAGAAACACATGTGGGGTAGTGGTGGTGCATGCCTTTAATCCCAGCACTCAGGAGGCAGAGGCAGGCAGATCTCTGTGAGTTAGAGGCCAGCCTAGTCTATAAGATCTAGCTCCCAGATAGGCTCCAAAGCTACAGAGAAACCCTGTCTCGAAAAAAAAAAAAAAAAAAAAAAAAAGAGAGAGAGAGAAAAACACGTGATGTTTTCCCTGTGGGCAAACATCCTGGGATCTATTGACTTTCATTCTTTTCCTGGGCGCTCTAGACCTTCCTCCCTCCTGCTTCATCTAGACGAGTTACGCAACCAGTTACTAGGCCTGCCGTGCAGCTGTGGCTCAGGGCTTCCTTTGTTGCTTTCCTACCTCCTGGATCTTTCCGTTTTGTGGGTGTTTTAGCAGACGCATCTTCTGGCAGCTTCCTAACAAATGGTCGATGCAAGACCCTGCAGGTGCCTTCCTTGTGCCCACCCTGTTGAGTGGTGACTTGATGGGCGCAGGAGTCCAGATGGGAGCCATTTCCTTAGCGCGGTTTGAAAGCGTCGTTCTGTTGAGTGTTTACCGCTGCTGCTGGGAAATTGAATACTCTGCTTATTCCTAAATCTTCGAGCATGGCATAGTATTTCACCTCTGAGAGCTTTAAGATCTGTCCCAGTGGGGGGCTGGAAAGACGGCTCAGCAGCTACCGTGAACTGCTCTTGCAGAGAACTCTTGCTTAGTTCTCAGCACCACATCTGGCAGCTCACAACTGCCTGTAACTCCAGCTTGGGGCACCTGACGCCTCTGGTCACTCATGTGCATATACCTGCACACAGACATGTGCATATTCCTGCACACAGACATGTGCATATACCTGCACACAGACATGCGCATATACCTGCACACAGACATGTGCATAATCAAATGCGATAATTACCTTTTGAGAATCTATTCCAGTGTTCCAATGTATTTCATCATATACTCCAGGGGGTGTTACCGTTTGCTCTGCGGCTCCCCGCCCCAACTTTGTAGCTGGGGAAAATGGCCTCCTGTGGTTTCCTCGGTCTTTTTTCTTTTTCCTTTTTTTCCTCAAAACTCTTCTGTTAGCAGATATTTCCTAGACGTAGACTCTGTTTTGTTTCTTTTTCTCTATTTTCTGCCTTTTATTTTTTACAACTTTCAGATAGATGTCTTTATTTTACTTCCTAACAATTCAGGTTTTTTGGGGTGAATTTTCTGGTTTTGCTATTGTTTCTGAGCTCTCTTTTTTCTTTCCTGCAGTACCATCATGGCTCTTCTTACTGTCAATATTAGTTCTTTTTCTTAAAGTCCTTTATTTTTAAAAATATTAATTTTGGGACTGAAGAGAGAGCTCAGGATTAAGAACATGGCTGCTCTTCCAGAGGACCTGGGTTTGATTCCCAGCATCTACATGGTGGCTCACACTTCTGTGACTCCAGTCCTAAGGGCTCTGAGGACAGGTGCACACATGGTGCACAGACATATGTGCAGACAAAACAACCGTACATATCAGTGAATTAAAACTTTTTAAAAGATTGTTTTTATTTATGTGTATGTTTATGCATGTCTGTCGTGTCTGTAGGGTGCCACGGAGATCAGAAGAAGTCATATCTCCCAGGGCTGGACAAGGGGCAGTTATGAGCCACTAGTGTGGGTGCAGGAACCTGAACTTGGTCACCCTATCCCAGCCCCTCAGTATTAATTCTTAGTTCCTATTTTAAAGTTCCATGTCGCTCCCTGCAGTGTCTCTAGATCTGGTACTGTCCCCTGCTTGTTTTAGTCTCGTTTTCACGTAGGAGACTGCTCTTAAACTATTGTTTTCTAAGTTCATTCCTGTTTAAAAACAGAACCTTGCTGCACATGGTAGCATGTGCCTTTAATCCAAGCCCCTGAGAGGCAGAAGCAGATAGGTCTGTGAGTCTGAGGCCAGCCTTGTCTGCATAGTGGATTCCAGTACAGCTAGGGCTACATGAAGAGACCCTGTCTCAGAAACCCAAATAATAATTAATAATAATAGTAATAGTCGTAGTAATAATGATGGTTGTTAATAATAATACTAAATAAAAAATTTAAAATTATGAAAAAGGCCTTAAATGCCACCAGGAAGCTCTGTACAATCATTAGGGTAGGTAACGCTGTAAGGACCAACTGTAATTTGAATGTGTCGTAGAAGATACTACAAAACTCAGGATATGTTGGTGTGTGAAGGGAAAGGGAGGACAGTTCCAGTTCACAAACATATACACCTATGCGCGCGCGCACACACACACCCTGTCTGTCACTGCTGCAGAGGGTCCCCAGCCGGCGTGCTTGGTGTGCGGCTGTAACGCCGAGCCTATGAACGAAAGCCAGTTTGTTATAAACACTGCTCCCCTTCACTCCTCAGTGTCCTGGGGGCTGCTCTTGGATTGTTTTCCAGTGTGCTCAGCCTGTCCTTCTGCCCCTGCCGGGGTGCTGTTTCCCTGGTTCCGTGAAGAGCTGCGAGGGCTTCTTGGATCTCTGAGCAGGCACTGGTCCTGTCGGCTCCTTTCCCACTGGAACCCCAGTTCCACCCACTGGAGCCCATGTTTCTGAGTTGGTCTGAGGTTCTGTGCTGCAGACCGCCAGCCTCCCCTGAGGTGCCTGTCCCTGGGTGTGTCTAGCATGGTGTTTCTCTGGGTTTGTGCTTCTAGTTAGTCTCTATCTTCTAAAGCTGTTTCAAGAAGGACAGCTGTTCTCCAGTGTGCCACGCTGTAATCATTTACGTACTTTGTGTTTATTAAGAGTAGACATGCGATACACACAGATACCCATGTCCTGCACGCGAATATTCAGGTGCTCCAAAGGATAAACTGTCCTTTAGTTTCTCCCGGAACCATCTAAAACTACCAGTTACTTCTGTGTGTGTGTTGGGAGGGGCATATATATGCTACGGCAAATATGTACAGGTCAGAGAACATCTTGTGGGAGTAATTTCTCTCCTATCACTGTGTGGTTCCTGGGGAATTTGAACTCAGGTCATCAGGCTTAGTGGCAAGCACCTTTACCCACTGAGCCATCTTGCTGAACCATTCCTGCACACTTTCACAGACATACAAATGGACTTGACATTAAACAATGTAACAGTTTTTCTGCATGCCCTGAGCTAAGTAAAGAGTAGTGTGTAACTCTCCTAACCCTCTTTCAGGGTCCATTGCAGATGGCAGGTATTTTCAAAGGTTCTTCATTCAGATATACGCAGCTAGCTAGCCACCTGCACAAAAGCCAGCTGCGGTTCTGTGGGGGCTGGACTCAAACAGTCAGTTGATGGCAACTTCAACCTCTTGTAAAGGGCTTTGTGCTACATCCCTGCATCTTTCTCCTGTTTTATTCTTTGTTTCTTTTTCCCACTTCCCTTCTGGAAGTATCTCCCTGACTCTTGGTTCCCATGGCTGGCCATAGAAGTAGTCCATCCTGGCTAAGAATTGCAATCTTCCCTGGCCTCTTATTTTGGCATTCAGATGAGTATGCTCTAAGTCTGTCCCACTAACTGGCCTTTACAAAGCACTGAACCCAGTCATCTTTGCGTATTTTAGGTTCAGGTCTAGCCTGTGGTGGACTATGTGCCTGCCAGCCCGGTGACTTTATGAATCTTCATTTCCACAATAGAGCCAGCTGATGCCAAGCCAGATTTGATCACAAAACTGAAACGGAGATCCACACCCTGGATCAAGGACCCCAATGGGCTACAGTCAGGGAGAAGTCGCTCCCTAGGTGAGTCTGGCCTCATCGCGTTCTAAACTGTACAAGCCTGGACACATGTAGCACAGGAAGCCACTCTACATGAGTTCAGCCATGCTTATCCTGGACCGATGGTGTTCCTAGGCCACAGGCAGACAAAGATGAATAAGGAGCTAGCCCTGTCTGAGACTGTAGAACAGTCTAGGCCGCTGGGGCAGTACAGAAGAAATAAGGTCCTCTGACAGGTAGAGGTGCTGATAGCTGTTGCCTTGCTGGGGGAGGTAAATGAGAGACGCTGGACAGCCATGGGATGGACCTGTCTGTCTGAGCGACCCTCTCTTCTCTCCTCCTGGGGAGCAGCGACAGCTCTGTGGCTAGTGAGAACTCCATGTTTTACTCATCCTGGTCCATAGCTCACTGGCCAATAGCCACTCTGTGTGAGTCTTAACCCCTTTCTGAGACTCATGAGAGGATGAAGACGCTTGGATTTAACCTGGCGAAGCTTCACAAGATTGAAGTTGCCTGTTTATCTAATAATGTCTGTGGCCAAGGGTGGCTGATTAAGTTCATCAGCCTCTGGTGTCTCACAGCCCTGGGGTAGTCAGTGAGTAAACAAACAAGGGTATGCTCTTTCTGTTGGGGAGCCAGGTTGGCCTTCACTGCGCTGGGAAGGGCTTGTAGAAGCTGGCATTGATCTCTAGAAGGAGAGACTGTGTTTGGCTTCTCTGCTTTGGTGTCTTACTCAGCGCAGGTGCCTTTGCTGGTAGACCAGAGTTTGGAACAGCAAACCAAATTAATTTTTTTTCAAAGGGAAAAAGAAGTCTGTGGCAGTGAGAGAAGCCGACATCCAAACCCAGGCCTCAGCTGCAGATCCCACCTCACTTCCAGCCTCCGTGGAGACATGTCCCTCTCACTGTCCTTCCAGCTCGTGTGGAGGAAAAGTGGGCGGACCTGGGAGAGTCAAGAGGACGTACAGGCCCCGTTCCATTCAGAGGTCATGGTTTGGGCAGTTCCCCTGGTTAGTACTGGACTCCAAGGAGACCAAGCTGTTCTGCTCTGTTTGCAGAGAGAGACCAACAATCCACGACAAGTCATCTCGTTTGGTCCAGGGTTACACTGGGCCTTTTAAAGTGGAAACTCTGAGATACCATGAGGTCAGTAAGGCACACAAACTGTGTGTCAACACCGTGGAGGTCGGAGGTGACAGCCCTCAGCCTACCCTCACTCCGGAGATCTCCAGTGACCTCGTGGCCAACATGGAGCACCTCTTCAATGCCGCCTACTCCATCGCCTACCACTCCAGGCCTCTGAATGACTTCGGGAAGGTCTTGCAACTCCTCCACAACACCGGCACCGCGCTATTGGGCAAGTACCGGAATCGCACTGCCTGCACACAGTTCATCAAGTATATCTCTGAGACCCTGAAGAAGGAGATCCTCAGAGATATTCGGAGCTCCCCGTGTGTGAGCCTGCTGTTGGACAGCTGCTCGGACTGCTCCGACCAGGCCTGTGTGGGGATCTACATGCGCTACTTGAAGCAGGCGGAGGTGAAGGAGTCCTACATCACCCTGGCCCCTCTCCCCAGTGAGACGGTAGATGGGTACTTCGAGACCATCATTGCTGCCCTGGATGAGCTGGATATCCCTTTCCGGAAGCCTGGCTGGGTGGTGGGCCTGGGGACTGATGGGTCTGCCACGCTGAGCCACAAGGGAGGCCTCGTGGGAAAGCTCCAGGAGATCATCCCTCAGCTGCTGCCTGTGCCCAGTGTCACCCACCAGCTGCCTGTGGCCGTGCTGGACGCTTGTGGGAGTGTCCCTCTGGTGAGGAGGTGTGATCGGCACATCCGGACTGTCTTCAAGTTTTATCAGTCCTCCAGCAAGAGGCTCAGTGAGCTTGGGCGCAGCGCCGGTCCCCTGGAGCAGGAGATCGTCTGTCTGAAGGACTTGACTGCTGTCAGGTGGGTGGCCAGCCAAAGGCACACTCTGGACATGCTCATCGGGAGCTGGCCCGCCCTGGTCAGGCACCTTCAGAGTGTGGCGGAGGCTGGGGGCCAGACTGGCCAGAGAGCCAAGGGCATGCTGAAGCAGATAAAGGGCTTCCATTTCATCAAGTTCTGTCACTTCCTTCTGGATTTCCTGAGCATCTACGGGCCTCTGTCTGAGGTCTGCCGGAAGGAGCTAGCGCTGGTGACGGAAGTGAATTCTACCCTGGAGCATGCCTATGTGGCCTTGGAGAGTCTTCGCCAGCAGGCGGGGCCTAAAGAAGAAGAGTTCAATGCCAGCTTCCAGGACGGGCAGTTCCATGGCATCTTCCTGGACAGAGTGGAGATGGCAGAGCTGTGGTTCCAGGCAGACAGGGAGAGAACGATCCTGACTGGGATCCAGTATCTCCAGCAGAGGTTTGATGCAGACCGCCCCGCACTGCTCAAGAACATGGAGGTGTTAGACACCACAGCCTGGCCCCAAGGGGTTGAACTGGCCTGCTTTGGGAATGGTGACATTCTCAGCCTTGCCAGGCATTTTGAACTCTCCCTCCCCATGGGGTACAGTGAGGAAGCACTGCTGGAGGAGTGGCTGAGCTTGAAGGCAGCTACCCAGAACCTTCCATTCTCTGTGCTGTGTAAGAATGCCCTGACTCAGCACTGCCGATTCCCTCTCCTGAGCAAGCTCCTGGCTGTGGTGGTCAGCGTGCCCACCTCCACTTCCTGCTGTGAACGAGGATTCAAGGCCATGCACAGGATCAGAACCGAGGAGAGGACCAAGCTCTCCAGCGAGGTGCTCAATACGCTCATGCTGACGGCTGTGAATGGTGTGGCAGTGGCCGAGTATGACCCCCAGCCAGCCATCCAGCACTGGTACCTGACCTCTTCGGGACGACGCTTCAGCTACAACTATGCCTATGCCCAGGCGCCTGCCCGCTCCCATGCCAGTGAGTACACACCGCCATTAGCGTGGGCACCAAAGAGGATTCCCACGTGTTCCCAGTCACATGCTGAGCCAGGGGCTGAACAAGTCAGCCCACAGAGGAGGGACCTATGGAGCACTGCAGGTTGCCCAGCCACCTGCAGAGAGGAGCTGGAGGCAGGAGAACTATCCTGGAGGGATATGTGACCTAGCTAGAGGTGCCACGGGCAGTTTGGAGTGACCCACCCCAGCTGTGGGCCTAGCTCCTCTGCAAGCCAGTGTCCCGGTGCTGGCATGTTCGCCCAGGAGTTAGCATACAATGGTCTGGCCAGTAGAGCACATGACACTAAGATGGTGCCCCCTGCTGGAAATGAAATTCAAGGGCTGGAGGTCTCGGGCAAGGGTGGTTTCATCTTCTAATTTGGGTTGGGTTGGCTTTGGGCCAGGCAGTGGGGTTTCAGGAGAGACTACGGCAGTGAGGGTCAGGGTGGCTGTGTGGAGAGGTAGTTCATTTGGGGCTGTGGGAACCCCTGGAGCAGGGAAGCCTGAAAACATGGGGGAGCCTCTATCAGCCACCAGCCAGAGGGTGGGGTTGTATTCCATTACAGGGCAAAGTACCGACTGCCGAATTGGAAATCCCCTTCCTCCTGTCCTGGAGACCAAAGCCTGTGAGGGTTCTCCACAAGGCCGCTTTTCCAGCCCATCACCTTCCTACTCGTCCCACTGCTTTTTTTTTTTTTTTTTTTTTTTTTTTTTTTTTTTTTTTTTTGCCTCTGAGCCTGGCCTGTGGTCATTGTTAGTGGATTTGAATATGAGGGGAGACAGAGGCTTTGTGGCCAGACTGATGACCCTGGCACCCTGTATGGACAGGAACTAGGTGTATCTCCTTCCGTGTGATAACAAAGAATGACCTCATTGAGTCTGCCCCTGTAGTGAGGTGAGGGAGGAAAATCTTTCCTCTCTGTGGGATTGGGAAGACTGGTACCCATGAGGAAGCAAATGGAGACACTAGTAAACTGTGTATAGCCGGCCTCGTGAACATTCAGGCCCGACAACTCCTTGCAGTGGGCACCAATGCAGTAGATGCTTGCAAGTCCCTGGACTCTAACCATTATTTTCCCTCTGGGGCAGGGGGAGAGGACGACACCGGAGCGGGCAGGCAGGTACTGTGGGTCGTAGTGCTGGCCTGACTGGTCTGTGCTGAAGGTCGCCTTCACCAAACTTAGACATACAGTAGGGAAGACATCTGTCCTCTGCTCAGTGTGTTCATCCTTGTCTCCTCCACAGATACAGGGCTCAGGAAGAAGGATATTCCTCTCTGTAAGGAGGAATCCATGGTCCAGAAGACATCCGTCACATTATATGGGGAGCCATGAGGCTCAGAAGGATCGCATACAAACCTGGACCCTATACCATCTCAAAAGCCTTGTGGTTCTGAAGAGCGGCCTAGACACAGCTTTGGGGAACCCTTGATCATGGAGAGAGACTCTCTGAAGATCCTAAACTGTCCTGGTTGGATACTTCATGGGCCCAGAATGTGGACAGGAACAAAGGGTTGAAGGGGACAAGGCCTTCAAGGTGCCACGGTGACTCTCAGTGCAAAAGCATGCCTGAGAGGCACTTACCTCAAGTCTGTTTTTTCCAAGGAATCCTGCCGTGAGAGGGTTCACCCCATACCTTCTGGTGGCAGAGAGTGGGGCTGACGGGAGAGGAGAAGCCCAGCTCTCCGCATCCCTGGCGTGAATAGGAGGTTGCCTCTGGGGAAGGCCACTTTGGTGTGGAAATGACTGTGGTCCAGAGACCTTGGCCTGCTGCAGGAGCCCCAAGGATTGGCCTTTCTGGACCACTGCAGAGGCTCATGTAGTAGAATCCAGGAGACCCTACCCCTCAAGGGCTGCCTTTGACACACACCAGCACCTGTCACCACAGCTCCTGCACAGTGAGACACGCTCCCTCTGAAGGAACCCGGTGTTCCCTCCCCACCTCTCAACCCTTGGAAGTTTCCTGTGGAGTACACAAGAGGTGGGAGGTGGGAGATGTGGAATCCCGGCCAACCTTTCTGCAGATAATGTTTAATCCCTTCCTCTTCTGTGCCTCAGTTCACTCCTCATGTGGTTGCCACAAAGAATCCAAGCACCTGTTGGCTCCCTGTAGCTGTAGCAGTCGTCAGCGGGAACCTCAAAGTCCCGAGAGAAGGACTTGTCTAGAGCACTGAGCTGCTCTTGTCCTTAGCAGTAAAGGCATCTGCTTTGCCACAGGAGGTAGAAGCGCTGTCCACAGGACAGGTACACCCATCCTTCTGCAGAATGCCCTGCAGACTGCTTCAAACGCAAGCCCCAGGGCTTGTCAAATGTGCCTCATTCTGGACGAGTAGAACCCTACTCCCGACACCAGTTCAGTAGCTGTGTCTTCCCCAGCACCTTTATGGGTATCCTCTGGCTTTAAAGCCACCCCCCCCCCACACACACAGAAGGACCTCCAGTAAAACTGTGGGCCCTCTCACATTTTCCCTTCTATTGTGAATTCTAGGGCAGCCTGGCTTTGCAGGCTCAGTGGTTGCCTGTTTGGTTAGGATGATCTGTCTAGGTTCTGTCTTTTAGCTCCAGGTTGGAGAATTGCCAAATGGATGGGCTCCTTGCCTCTGTCTCCTGCTCGTTTTACAAAGACAGGAGCCTTGCTTGTTGCCTGTCTACTGCAGGCCCTGTTCTGTGTCATAGGCACACAGCCTCTGACCATGCCACCCGCCCACTCCTTTCAGCAGCTGCTGCACCCAGCGCTTCAGCACTAGCCAACCCCATGGCTCTCAGCCTCAGCACTAAGCCTTGGTGTTTTTCCCACTCCAGAACCACCTCCCCATCCAACCTGGGGGCTTGGGGAAAAGGGGCAGGCAGGCCTTTGGCTCCAGGTCAAGGAGGTGGCCAGGGCAGTGTTTTCAGAGTCCAGGGATTTGCCAGGCCAGGGTTGAAGGAAAGGTCTCCATCCACATGGTTCACTTTTTCTATAACACCTTTCCTTTGACCACCCCTCAGCGAGACGCCAGTCCTGTCAGTGATGGAGACATACTCCCTGGAGTGAGGTGGCTACCCTGTCCTCTCCATACCAGCACCCCAAGGTCACCTCCTGATGTTTTCTTCAGATAGAACAGGGGTCTCCTTGGAGCAGGGTCTTTCTAGAGTAAGTCTACCCAGAAACATTAGGTGGCCACCATGCAAAGAACAGGCTACTAGCTTAGGTCTTTGCCTTACTCAGGTTTTCTGACCAGAGAAGGTCCTTCCCAGTGCCCCCTTGTCAGCTGAAGACAAAGAAACGATATTCTTGCATAGTCCCTCAAAGGGGACGCATGGTGAGCATGCCCACCTTGCAGCCTTTGCCCAGGCTGCTCCTGTTTTGCTCTTAGGGATGGCTGCATTTCTCTGGGAACTCTGGGTTTTGTCTCAGGGGAAAACAAGTGAAAGGGTGTTGTGAGGAAGAGGAAGCACTGCCCATTTGGTCTCAGCCCTGGCCTTCTTCCTTGCCTTTTCCCACGCTTAACACTCCCACCCCACCTGTCTGTCTGTCCCTAGGTAAAGGAGGCTGGCCTTGAACTCCTAGAGATCCCCGTGCCTCTGCCTCCCAGAGCTGGGATTCAAGGTGTGCACCACCTCCCCTGCCCCTGCCTGTTCCCTTGCCAGCATCTGTCTGGCGCTTATCCCTCCCCGCCCTGATAACTGGTGCTCACTGGGACTGCTGTGCCAAGCAGCCAGCATTGTACTCAGCACTCTGATTTCAGTAGCCATAGAGATTCAGGCAGTGAGGAAGCTCAGCCCTGGCCAGCTGAACACAGGAGACTGTAGCCACCTCAGACCTTGTACCACAAAGGGCAAGTCCCTAGCGTGCTAAGTGTGGTCAGGGCTGTAGAGGTCACCAGTTCCCCCAGATGGGCATCTGTGTAGCCAGGAACAGGGTGACTGGTCTGGGATTCTCTGGGCTCCTGGTTTCAAGAAGGTGCAAATTAGGTTTAAAAAAAAAAAAAAACCCTTGTTCAAGACTTAACTTCTATTATTTGAATAAAGCAGAATTTGCCTTTTTTGCTGTCTTTGGATGTCCTTCCTCTGAGTCCTGAGTGAGCTGAGAGGTTCTGCCTGAGTGTGAGAAGATGGGGGCGGAATGAAGCGCAGCGTGAGTTGGAATCAAGTGCCCCGTGCTCACTGTTGCTCAGCACTTCATAGATATCAGAGGGCTTTCGTCCAAAAGCGGGGCTTTCAGGGGAAATCACCCGTTTTCCCTAGCAATGCCCAAACCGTGACACTACCCAACAGAACTTTCAAGGAACCATTATAGGATGCCTTCTGCAGCCCTGCTCAGGGCTCATGTGGCCTCCTAGCCCTCCTGGCACGGTGGAGCAAAGTGGTACAGGTGCTGAGGTACTGCCAGATCTCTGGCCAGGAGACTCAGCCATACCGTGTCTGCATGTGTGGTTTTCAGTGGTACTAGTGAGCCACTGGAAGCAACATGCGGGTGACTGTTTCTGGGCTAGAACTCTGCAGCTACAAGTTAGGAAAGGCAGCCCACAGACTCCTCCCTGGCCTTCCATGGAGGAGGAAGAGTGTAGCCTAGAAATGGACTGCCATAGGCTTCTCCACTGGCATGAGCCTTGCATGTCTTAGCAGGAAAGCTCCCAGGGAAGGCAGCACCTGCCAGGCAGCAAGACAGCCTCTTTAAGGAACATGCTGGAAGGTGAGGCAGAGACCTGGGGCCTGCTCTGCCTCTGCTTTCTCCCAGTGTGGGAGAGACCCAGGGTGCAGCTGCTTGCTGAACCTTGCAAGTGTCACTGCCCCTGTTGCTCCAGGGCAGACCCTATTCAGTATGGGTCTCCCCATGGGTCAACACAATCTTCAGACACCAGAAGACTATCCTGTGTTAGTACAGCTGCTGGGCCTCTCGGCTCTTTGAATGCTGCCTCTGAGGTGCCCCGAAGAATGGATGCCTTTAGCCCTTTTCCATCAACAAGATGGCTGCCAGAGGCCCCTGTGCAGATGTGCATCTGATTAGAGCCCATCTGCCCCTAGTATGACAGAAAGAGTGAGGCATGATGACACATGCCTGTAATCACAGATGTGGAAGGCTGCATGAGGTAAGAGAGTTGAAGGCCAACTTGGGCTATGTAGACTGTGTCTCAAACAACACAAGAGGAATTACTGCAACAGAAGTGCTTTATGGTTCGTAGCTCTTCATGGGGACTAGGCATCTGCCATAGGTATAATGCTGCCCACATTTGGGGGACAGAGGCCTCCCAGAGTAGTTTGCTAGTGTTTCATGTGGTCCTGGTCCACACTCAGGCTCCATGGGACTAGGGGAAGAGGAGATACTACTGTGTTTTGGGTATGTACACCCCATATTTCTAGAGCTTCCTGTGCTTTCAGAGGTCCCCTTGGATTAGATGGAAGGCCTCTGCCACATGGAAACGCATAAGATCCTCTCTCCTGGGATGTGTCACGGTGGCCACATCTGTGTAGCTCTTGAAATTCTTATCATAGTAGCTCGGGCTGACCAGCTTTTCCCACGTCCTAAGGACCCCGGGGTCAAGTTTGGCCTGGTGACTTTCAACCCCCAGAATCATTAGCCACATTAGTTGCCTCTGTGATTATCTAGACGCTTCTCTAGTATGGCTGTCAAGCTCTGTGAGAAGTCAGAGCAACTATGATCTCACCAGGGTAACACAGACACTTTTCTTTTTTTTTTGTTTTGTTTTGTTTTTGTTTTTTTCTAGACAGGGTTTCTCTGTGGCTTTGGAGCCTGTCCTGGAACTAGCGCTGTAGACCAGGCTGGCCTCAAACTCACAGAGATCTGCCTGCTTCTGCCTCCCGAGTGCTGGGATTAAAGAGGTGCGCCACCATCGCCCGGCGACACTTTTCTTTAGCATCCCCTTCCTGTAGTCACAGGACCTCTTCAGGAAGCAGCAGCATCCTGAAGATGGCACAGAAAAGTGTGGCTCAGCATCCTGACTCACAGAAGTGACCTCATGGTGCTAAGAACACCAAAGTTGGGGCTGGAGAGATGGCTCAGAAGTTAAGAGCACTGGCTGCTCTTCCAGTGACCACATGGTGGCTCACAACCATCTGTAATGAGATCTGGAGCTCTCTAGCAGACATGTAGGCAGAGTACTGTATACATAATAAAAAAATTTTTTTAACAATTCAAACAAAACAAAACACCAAAGTTCTGGAGGGCAGAAGGCTAATGCTCCCTGCTGTCATTACCATCTTGTAGAGTGTGATACATAATTCTGTCAGCTTGGTCGAGAGTCACCTAGGAAACAAATCTCTGGGCATGTCTATATTGGTTTAATTGAGCTGGAAGACCCAACTTAAATATGGGTAGCACCATCCTGTGGGTTAGGAATCCCAGCCTGAAGTGAACATAAAGCAAGCTGAGTCCCAGCATTCATCTCTCGCCTATGAATGCAGAGAGACCAGCTGCCCCATGCTCCTGCCACTGTGTCTTCCCCATCCTGGAGAAATGTGAACCCAAATAGACCCTTCCTTCCTCCTTCCTCCTCCCTCCCTCCTTCCTTCCTCCCTTCCTCCCTCCACCCTCCCTCACTTCCCCTCCCTCCTTTCTTCTTTTCTTCCTCCCTCCCTCCTTTCTTTCTCCCTTCCTCCCTCCTTCCTTCCTCCCTCCTTCCTTCCTCCTTCCTTCTTCCCTCCTTCCTTTCTCTCTCCTTCCTTCCTCCCTCCTTCCTCCCTCCTTCCTCTCTCCTTCCTTCCTCCTTCCTTCCTCTCTCCCTTCCTTTCTCCCTCCCTCCTCCCTCCCTCCTTTCTTTCTCCCTTCCTCTCTCCTTCCTTCCTCCTTCCTTCCTTCCTCCTTCCTTCTTCCCTCCTTCCTTTCTCTCTCCCTCCGTCCCCCCTCCTTCCTTCCTCCCTCCTCCCTCCCTCCTCCCTCCCTCCTTCCTTTCTCCCTCCCTCCTCCCTCATCCCTCCCTCCCCCCTCCTTCCCTCCTTTTACTCTCTCAGGTATTTTGTCACATGAGAAGATTAACAGGTCTATAAATGTCCTTGCTCAGGGAGTCTGTGTTCCAGCTGCACTTTAATCCCCGCTGCTGCAGCCACTACTAGACCACAGCTTGGGTACTTGCCACAGAAAATTCAGAAAGCATGATCTGTGAAAAAATGTCAGAGTCATGGACAGAGTAGCACCAGCGTGTTGGCTCTTGGCTCTCTGGAATTTTCTCGAAAGGCCTTCTGTGCTATCTTTTCTATCTGGACTTACAGTAAGATAAGCAGAAAGCCAGCAGTGTAGGTTTGCAGGAGATAGGCTGAGTGTTCAGGGGCTTGGCGATGGCTCCCAGAGAAACGGAAGCCCTGGCCCCAGCTGCTGCACAACTGCCCTCTACGATGATCTGGCTCCCCCTCCAGCTCTCGCCTGGACAGTGAACCCTCAGGAGTGGCTGACCTCAAGGGTCCTGAATCAGAGAGAGAGAGAGAGAGAGAGAGAGAGAGAGAGAGAGAGAGAGAGAGAGAGAGAGAGAGAGTCCTGAGTCTTGCTGTGTTCCATATAGATCACCTGAACTCCACTGTAGACACTGTAGAGAGAGGATAGTCTATCAGTGGCCTGATCAGAGGCTGGGCCTCCATAAGGTTTAGTGGAGCAGTGCGCTCTGCACAGGAGGCCGAGTGGGTGCAAGGTTCACCTCACTGAGGAGAGGCTCTAGCCCAGGCTGAGTCCTCTGCTCAGAGTTTGTCTTCTCTATCAAATCTGTAGGCCACCTCTGCTTTGCAGTAGCGGTACACACCACTGGGGAAACAGCCAAGCTGGTCTTGAACGCACATGTGCACATGAATCTACATCAATCCTGAAGCCTAACTTGTCCCTATTGAAAGGTACGGGGCCCACATCAGTAGGGAAAGTTAAGAGAACTCCAGAGATGCCCCAGGCCTTCACAAGGAATGAAGTTTATTTTAGGGCAACATCAGGCATGTCAGAAGCTGAATAAACAGTGTCACACCTCTCTGCTTCCAGAGACTTCTGCACATTTGGGGTTGGGGTAGGTGTGTGGGAAAGGCTCAGTTGGTGAAAAGACACCTGTTCTAGTCTAGGTCTTTGTTTCCCCACTGGGTGCAAGAAAGAGACCATGAAAGCAATGGACCACTGCCTTCACCTTCTTCCTCTCAGCCACTAAGTTCCCCAGCTCCTCTGCCTTGGCTGAGCAGCACATGGCCGTGTGTTTGAGTATCACAAGGCCTTACTGGAAAAGACAGACATCCAAGATTGTTGCCCACCCCCCACCTACCACCGCCTGGATCTACAAAGTATTGTGTGACAGGTCTTATAGTGTGTGGCACTGAGGCTCGGCTTCCTATTGCTTCCCAGAGAGGATTTGGAAACATTTTTAAAAATCATTATCTTTCAGTGTATGATGTCTGTGTTTGTATGAGGCACACATTCCTTGGTGCATGTGTGGAGGTCAGAGGACAACTCAATGGGAACCACAGCATGGTACCCAGCATAGCCAATGTCAACCCAAAACCTCCACGGGAGAAGGGAGACAAGACAGTGGCTTCACCTTGCTGCAGTTACAGGCATGTGTCATCACCCTGGGCAGGAACAAGGTTTTTAAACAAGTCCAAGCTGTAGTCTTTTATCACATGACACCTCAGCTAGCTTAGATGTTTACACCTGAGGTCTTTGTATACTGCCCCTCTTCACGTCTGACTTGCAGGAAGTTTGACAAGATGAATAAAACTATCTTAATTAGGGGAGGTGGACGTGACCTGCCCCTGCTCTGGATAACTAGGAACACGTCACTGGCAGAAGCAAGTTCAAGGACAGACACTTGTCGCCTGCATACAATGTGTGTGTGTGTGTGTGTGTGTGTGTGTGTGCATGTGTGTATGTGTGTGTGGGTGGGGGGCGGGCATTTCCCATGCTATGCAACCGCTGGTTTCCCAGAATGTTTGCAGTCCTGGTCAGCTGCAAGCGGCAGAACCGAATGCCAAAGTTGTCTCCAGGAGCCACTGTTCTCTATGGAAAGGATCTCTACAGAGGGTGGAGACCAAAAGATACCATTGCTCTCCACAAAAGAGGGGAGATATGGAAGATATGGGACCAAAAAGCCTAAGGAGGACCTTTCTAGTTCTGCTGAAGAAACTATTGAGTTTTGAGCTGCTAGATGTTTCCCGTGAGCTTGCGAGTGAAGGCAATGTGGTATTAGGTGAAAGATGGGAGGCCAAGTCTGTGGACTCTTAGCTACCTGAACTCCCCTAGTAGAAGCCCCTATGATCCCTGCGCAGTCCTCCGATCCGATTCGGGTCTCCTCCTACCCAGTCCCCTTGTCCCCAGACACCCGGGGCTGCCAGAGCACAACGCGTGACCCACTACGTCCTGGTGGGAATAAAAAAAGAAAAATGCAAACCCAATCCTGGAACCACCTGCGACAGAAAAAAAAATCCTACTCAGCCAATCAAGGGAAGGACTCCTCGGAAGCCCCGCCTTTGGCCCTGAGTGACAGCTGGTGCGCAGGCCCGTTCAGAGATGCGCGAGCGCAGATTCGCTTGGTCCAGAGCCTGAGCCACTGGGATCCCGTTGCGCATGCGCACAGCCCTCTTCCAGGACGTGCACCTGCTAGGAGAGTCCGCCGCTCGACCCACCATCCCACCTGAGCATCGCGCACCCAGCCATGACAGCACACTCCTTTGCCCTGCCAGTCATCATCTTCACCACGTTCTGGGGCCTCATCGGCATCGCTGGGCCCTGGTTCGTGCCTAAAGGACCCAACCGCGGGTAAGAAAGACGAGCAGGCCTCGATTCCCTGCGGACCCTCCCTGTCCCCTGACTAGGCTCGCCTCTTTACCCTGGGGCTCCCGCTTTCTACCCTGCAGCTCATGACCACACTGGAAACAGGCCGGAGGACCTGGTGAAAGGGTATATTCAGAAGTCAGGGGACGTTTGAATGTGGTCAAACACACACACACACACGCACACGCACACACACACGCACACACCAGCACAGTAGGTTAAGCCACCTATGGGCACTAATGCGCCATCCTTGCCAGCTCTGTGACGCTGGGCAAATACCAGGTCTCAGTTTCCTCACTGAGGAAGATGGGGACAGTGGCAATACCTGCTTTGTAAGGCTGTTGTGAGGGTTGCCCTCTGGGCGCATTGTGTATACTGAATGATTTTAGCTCCCTTCATTTTTGGAAGGCTCCTAGCAGATTTCTGCACCGTTTACCAGTCCCTCCTCTGGTTAGCCTCTCAGTCCACCCTCACATTTTGGCCCCTGGTCCTTTGTCGCAGCACTGACTGCCCAGCGCACAGCCAGGAGTGGTCGGAGCTGTCTCCTGATGCTAAAGGAAGGATCCAGCACTAACCTATTCAGCCACCTTGAAGTCCTTGGGCTCTGCCCTGGATTAGGCATAGATGGGCGTTGTCTTTATTCCTCTCCAGGCGGCTGGAGAGATGGCTCAGCAGAGACCCTCCTCTTCCAGAGGACCAAAGTTTGGCACCCACATTAGGAGACTCACAACTGTCTTAACTACAGCTCCAGGAGCTCTGAGGCCCTCTCTGGCCTTTGGGGCACCAGCATACATGTTCACATAGCCGCATACTGATACACACATATGTAAGTAAAAATAAATCTTAAAAAAGATTTAAACTGGGCTGCACGACTTTACTCTAGGCACACCAGTGTCATCTCTTCCGAAAGTCTTGGTGAACTCCTTCTTGTCCGGCACATCTGTCTCCAGCTGTGTTGGAAGCCTCTATCGTTGGTCTTCTCTGAGTGGGTACAAAACGCTGTTTTCTTTATAATATCCTAGCCCAGCCTCCTTGCTGCTTGCCCTATCTTCTGATCTGTCCTTTTCTTTGACGTTGCTGGATGAATTCTGAGGCCAGTCTCTGGTGGGTTGCCACAAGAGGAGCTTGAGCAAAGCCTTCTTCAGCATTGAGATGGGGACATGTTTGCTGACAGAGAAGAGAGGGGAAGGGAGAGATTTACAACACACCTTGGATGTAGATGACCTTTGATGGTCTCATGCTTCATCTTGTAATTCTTACTCAGAACGGATCTCAGCCCCAGGAAGGCTGTCACGGGGAGCTCTTTCTCTGGCCCTGTGTACCAAGGCTGCCTTTTCCTTCCTGCTGTTACAGGGTCATCATCACCATGCTGGTAGCTACTGCTGTCTGCTGTTACCTCTTGTGAGTATGCCTTCCCAAAGAGCCGGGGGCTGTGGTGACCACTAGTGCCGTCTGGCTCCGCCTCCCAGGTGACAGTTGCATGGGCTTTGTGTTGCCCCAGCTGAGCTGTGAGATACATGAGTTGGGCCATCTCAGTAGTGTCTGCTCCTGTATGGGCACCAGAATCCTCCAGACTGGTTGTTCAAACACAGCTTTTGTGCTCCACTCTAGACTTGGCAAGCGACGTAGAAATCAGGGCATCATACTAAGGAATGCCTAGGTGATTGGACTAGAGCCAATGTAGAACCACTAGGGGGCAGCAGAGGTGTGTGACAATGCTAGGGTGGCTCCCAAAGGCCCCCACGGAACCCTCACCTGGGGACCAGCTCAGGGACCTTACATACTTACAGAAAATCAAATCATCTCACATCGAAACCCACAAATCCTAAGCCCAATTCCCTGTGCCAGCCAGGACACAGGCCCTGCCACCTGTTGGATTAGCTGCACGCTCTTTGAAAGAGAGGAGTCAAGTTCCCCTTGGTATGTGAGATGGGTCCCATCTGTGCCCGGTCCCCTCACTCTGCTGTCCTTGGCAGCTGGCTCATTGCCATCTTGGCCCAGCTAAACCCCCTGTTTGGGCCACAGCTGAAGAATGAGACCATCTGGTACGTGCGCTTCCTGTGGGAGTGACCAGGAGAGTGACCAGCTGGCTTCTGGCCCCAGGTACGGAGGGGACTCACTTGAGGGTAAACTGGGGGGCCTGCGTGGGAAGGAAGGGGATCAGGACTATCACAGGGCTTCCTCGGGACTCAGGAACTAGTTTGTTTAGCAAGGGAAATGAAAGACTATGCTAGCTTCTAAGAGGGATGGAGGCTGGGGTTCCCGGTCCCTGTCCTCAGTAAGCCTCTTCCTGAGGTGCAAACATACAGCCTCAGCTGTGGACTGCCAGACCACAGGTAGGGACAGGGGTGTGGATGAGACCCATCTGTAAGTTGGTCAGGTGAGGCTGGCCATGGGTAATAAGAGACCAACTTGGACAGAGGGAGGTGAGGGTGAACTGGTCCAGGTAAGGAAAGGAGTTGGCTTGAGGGAGATTTCCAGCCGGAGGGGCAGATGAAGGGATGATGGTGGTGATCCTTAATGTGATATGCTTTTCAGGTGCGTTGCTGTGGATGGCCCAGCCTTGATACCCCTGGAGACCCTGCATTCCCACTGGCCCCGCCCATCAGTCCACCCTTCTGTGCTCTCTCTGCCAGCGCTGTGGGATCCACACCCCAGAACCAGCCTGGTTTCAACTTCCCAGCCATTGGGGGGTCCATTTGGGAAAGCCTTGGCTCAGTTGGGCCAACCTGTGATTAAATCCCCACACTTGGCAGCTTTCTCTCTCTTCCAAGCAGATCCTGGCTGAGAGTCTGGACATGCTGGGGGTCTGTTTTCACCCTGAGAGCAGAAGCCAGGACTCAACCCAGTCCCAGAAAGGACAAACGCCTTTGTGGAGAAAAGACTTGTGGCCCAGGATACTCGAACCTTTGTATCTTGTGAAATATGGGATTGACATCACAGGCCTGCTCCAGCTCTGGTGTGGGTTATTCTTTAGGTCTCAAACACTTCTAGATGTGACAACATGGAGGTGTTGGTATCTTAAAGAAATAGTCACACCAAATCCCCATCCTGCACTTTGGGTCAAGATAGAAAATTTAGTCTTTTGTAGCAGTGAAGTACTCTGCATGGGAGGGAGGTGGTGTCTTTGGAATGTTCTAGTCACTTTCCCTTCCCTCTGTAGATAAGCTCACCCACTCCCCAGAACCGCTCAGTTGGGGTGCAGCCATTCCAGGAGGCTACACTTGATTGGGTTGTGGTGGAGCAGATCCCAGTGCTGGTCTCAGGAGCATTGGAATGATCTGGAGTTAGGATTGGGGGACAGACAAGAAGGTACTGTTTGTGGGCTACTATTGGCTGTGCCTCCCTGGCTTCTGAGACCCTCCGTTCCCAAGCTCATTGGCTCTGGCAGAGGATACAGACCGGGGGGGGGGGCACCCCAGGGGACTCCTCCAGCCCGTGCCCTCACCCCTCTGAGAGGGTGACTTTGGATTTTACATTCTTGCCTGAGTTCCCAGAGCTAGGACAGAGCCCTGCACAGTCCCTGGTTCCCAGCCAGTGGCTGTCTGAGTTCCCAGGGGGAAGAAAAAGCAGCCTTGATTATTTATTGACTATTTCTCTGGGCTTCCTCCCCTTGTAGGGGTCATTTTGGGAGTGGCAGTAGAAGGGCACTGGGCCTGCTGGTTGCAACTTCTCCCTTCCTACCCTAACCCCCCCACCCCCCGAAGCCTTCCTGTGGGGTGGAGCCTGGTGAGCATGATGTGTGTTGAAAAGCTGATTCCTGTCTAATAAACAGTGGTGATACAAGACTGTGACTTAGTAGCCAAATTCTGGCCTCTGCTCGCTTTGCCAGCTGCCACGTACTTTATGTTTGTCTCTTTCTGTCCCCTCTGCTCAGATGTTTTCTGTTTGTTTACTGGTGGCTCTGGGGAAAGGAAAAGGGACAGCACTTCTGGGACTTAGATTGCAGAGGACCCCCACACGTTTTTGAGATCTAGAGGAGAGGCTGGTTCTACTGATTGCCCTAAGCTTAGCCCAGTATCTGCCCAGTAGGAGAAAGACCAAGGCTTAGTCCAGTGGCACTTCAACCACTGACTTTTGCCCCCTGAAAACAGAGGGCACAGTGTCTGTGCATAAAGCAGGCTCCATGGCTGAGCAGAACTTTCCCTTTTCCTGAGTATCTGAGCTTGGGACTGTTGGGCTGCCGGCCTGGGGTGAGGAGGGCAGCAGACAGAATCAGGTACTTTAAGGACAGGGCCTGTAGCTTAAGGGGGGGGGGGGGCTAAAGTCTTTTCTGTGGAGGTTGGGGGTGGGGGAAGAACTGGGAATATTAATAATAACCAGTAAACTCACCTTTGAGTGACAGAGAGGCCATCGCTGCTCAGTCCACAAAGCTGCATGCCTAAGCAGTCCCAACCTAGTGCTGGAGGCCTGGAGAGCCAGTGATGTTCAGGCCGAAGAAACAGAGGTCAGATGGTGGCGGCAGCTGTAGACCCACATTCAGGAAGAAGGACGGACAGCCAGGGGACACTGCTTTTACTTGATAGCCAGTTGGAAGCGGCCACCCATTTTGAAGACAGTCTCTCCCTTCAGTTAATTCTTGTTATCCATACCTTCACAGACAGGTCTAGGGACATATCTCCCAGGCTAATTTTAAATCTCGTCAAATTGACAATTAACCAGGCATCATAGGGACTCCGAAAGGATTTAAGAAAGGTCACAAGCATGTGGCCCCGACTTGACCTCTAAACTTCTCTGTGCAGGATTTACGGTGAACAAGAAACTGGGCAATGACCCAGTGGTAGAGACCAGGCGGAAGTGGTGACCCTGAGGAAGAACCTCAGGCAAAAGCAGCCATCATCAGGACCCCCCAGCCCCGGCATACCTGTGCTGCACGGAAACCAGGGGGTAGAGGGGTGTGCTGGGACAGCCACCTGGGACAGTTCAGTGCTAACTGCAGGGCAGGATCAGCAGCGGGAGGGACTTGTCATGCTGGGGTTTTCCTTTGTTTATTGTTGAGCTGGGATAGTATTTGGGCTGAAAGGATCAGGAGAAAGATGTTCCCAGTGGCCAGGGCTGGGAGTAGTCAGAGTAAGAAACACCCCTCCCCAACAGAACTCCAAGAGCCTAGCGGGTGGGTGAGTGCCTGGAGTGTCCAGAGACAAGAGGGGAACCAAGGGACTGGGGTGCCAAAGAATCCAGAGGAAGAGGGCTGAAGGGAAGAGAATGGCTCAGGGCATCACATGTCCCCATTGCCCTCCACACCAAAAAATCAAAGCCAGCTAGGAGCTTTGCTTGTAGGCAAGGTCAGGCTGCTAGGGGCTGAGAGTGGGTGGGTAGGTGAGATGAGAAACCCCAGAGACAACTGGCAGGGAAGGGCCTGTAGCCTTCTGGGGCTGAGGATAGAGCAATAAAAGGGGTAGCTACAGGAGGAAAGAACCTCTGGGTAAACACGCCAGGCACTTGTATGTGAGCCCTGGGTGTAGGGGGTCATTCCCTCAGCTCCTACTACTGGGACCCAGCCAGGCCTAGCCTGCCGCATTCCTGTTGCCAGGGCTTCAGGTCCGGGTGCCTGAGATCCTCTCTGGCCTGGGGTGGGCTCCCCTGCGAACAGCAGTTTCCTCCTCTGGGTTGTTGCCTGCACTCTGAGCATCTTGGTGCTGGTTTATGGCACTCCTATAGATGCTGCCAGATGTGTCAGTGACTGGGAGTCGCTGAGCTCCCTGGCAGCAGCCTCTGTTCCTGGAGGGTGGAGATGCTCCCTGGGCAACCTTTCGCCTGCTTGGGCCTGGCAGCTCCTCGAGCCTGTGGCTTTCTCCTGTCTAGTTTTCTGTGCAGCCATTGGTTTCGTTTAGAACTGTGGAGATGGGGAGTGCCCTGCTGTGGGTAGAGGACAGCCATGGGAAAGGATGTTGCTACTATGGGTCCCATGGTGTACAGCACACCACACCGTGCACACAGAGGTCAGCGAGCTGTGGAGATGAAGGTCTGGACCCAGGCGCTTAACACAAGGGTCAGGCACGGGGTGACCTGTTTAAAGCAAGTGGCTATGGAAAGCCATTTCCTTTCAAAGTCATTTCCTCAGAGGATGGGTTATCATGGGATCCCTCTAGCCACGAGGCTTCAAGCAGAGAATTTATCTAAGCTAGATAGCTACACACTAAAGGGAATCCAGGCCCCATATTAGCCATAGACTCTAACATAGTAGGGCAAGGAGTGGGGAGGATGGAGAGTACATGTCTCCTCACCCTCCGGTAAGATTAGGTCTCCCACCCCTTTGCCAGGAACTGTGTTCTACCAGGGCTGTCCCTCCATGCTCAAGGTGGGAATGTGCAGGGCTAGTGGGTCTTCATCAAAGCCACACAAAGTCTGGCCTGTGAGATGGCTTAGTGAGTGCCGGTGCTTGCTGTCGAGTCTGATGACCTGAATTTGATTCCCAGAACCTATACAATGCAAGGAGGACCAAGTCCTGCGAGTTGTCCTCCGAGCTGCACTATGACACACACGCACACATATAATCTAAAAAGATATACAAAACTGGACATTAAAGCTAGAACATGTATTCATTTGACAACTTCCCTAGAGAAGACTCTGAACTCCGATCAGACCTTTGCAGTAGGACAGAACATTTCAGAGAAATAGAATAAGGGAGTCAAGAGGGGTGTGATCAGGGCCTCAAGTTAAATTAGGATAAGGGGAAATTCAGGATTATAAGAAGTTGGTTAAGCCAGGTGTGGTCATACATGCGGATAATCCCAGCAATCGGGAGACAGAGTCAGGAGGACGGAGACGGCCAGTCTGGAGGTCTGGGGATGCCTTCTGTGGCAGAATGCTTGCCAAGTGCGCACAAACCTGGGTTTTATGCCCAGCTCCACGCACACAAATGGTCAGTGTGATGAAATGAGGCTGTGTTGCAGGTGCTCCAATGATGAGAGTTAGGTTGAGAGGTCACGACCTCCCTGATGAGGGCTTTACAGCTGAGTGGTATTCAGGTCCTCACAAGTGACAGTCCTGGCTCGCTGGAGAAGCACACAGGGACATCCTGAAAACAGAGGAGGGTCGGGCTGCTCTGAGCTGTTTTTAGTAAGTGCTGGGATGGCTGGGAGTATCAGAGACACAGAAGCCCAGCACGAGAATAGGATTAGGGCTTGTTCACAGTGACTTTGACCACTTTGCTTCCGCCCTAGATGAAAAAATGCATGTCTTCTGGTTTGTGCAGAAAAGCACGCTCCAGTTCCAGAGCTTCCTCAGAGCTACCTGAGTCCGAGAGCTCCCTGTCCAGCACTCTGCCTGAGGGGAGGAGGGAAACGTGAGAACCAGGACCTCCCAGGCCTGAGCACAAGACAGTCCAAAGGTGTGGCCTTGGGCTTCAGGGATGGGGTGGAGAGTCTTGCTAAGGTTGCTCCTGTTTCTGGGCGCAGGTTGGCCATTCTGTGTCAAGGCAACTTTCATAGTTCTTTTCAAAGAGGACCCCCACCCTCACCCCCAGGGGGAGGCAAACCAGTAGTGGCCAGCACAGAGGCCCACAGAATGTCCCTGGAACAGAGATATTTACAAAGGGACAATGATGTATAGGATATGGTACTCCTGAGTCAGTTGTGGTGAGGGCCAAAATGAAGTCGGAGTGGAGACCATTCCACCCAGGAACAAGTCCACTGAGACTGGTAGAGACAGCCAGAGCAAACTGAAGCACACGGCCTGCACATGGCCAGCAGAGGGCAGAATGTGCAGGCCACAAGTCTCCAGAAAGACAGTCCAGTTTATGCAATACTGGGGGGGGGGGGGGCTGCTGATATCACGATCATGACCTTAGCAATGGCTTTGGGCAGGAGCAATGGTGGTTCTTCAGTCTACACCACACCTGCATGAAACATCCTTCAAGGGTGTTTAATGACGCTGGCTAATGATTCAGTAGATCAGGTATCTGGGAGGTGATCTACTGAGATGTCAATACTTCCAGTTATTAGAGGTATGGAAGATGGGTGTGGTGTTGTGTTCCTGTATTTAGTTCCAGCACGCAGGAAGCTGAGACAGGAGGATAATCAATTTCAGGCCAGCCTGGGCTACATCTTGGAGTACAAGACATGAATCTTGTCTGCAGCCTTGTCCTGGAACTTTCTCTGTAGACCAGGCTGACCTGGAATCGCCTCCTGAGTGCTGGGATTAAAGGTATACACCACCACTGCCTGGCCCTTGTCTGCCTCTAAAAAAAAAAAAAGTCTAGTCCTGGTGTATGCTTGCAATCGTGGCACTCAGGACACAGAGGCAGGAGGATTGCTGAAGTCGAAGGCCAGCCTAGTTAGTCTATATAGAAAGTTCCAAGAGAGTCAGAGCAATACTTTGAGACTCTGTTTCAAAACAGAAAAGGCAAAAAAAAGTATGATAAATTTATACTTTTCAAGGCTTGTATGACAATCCAAGAACTCAATAGATTAGTACAGTGTCACACCTGATGGAGATGTATAATCAACTCCTCTGGCTAAAGTCTGACTTATGCCTGATCACGCAATGATCATCAGCTGCTTGCATATGCGTGGGCCTATGGCAGTGCCCACCTGGCAATCCAGGATTGGCAGCCCATGCCTACTTAAGGGCAGGGAGAGGTTTGCCCAGAGAGAGAGGGGAAGAGAGAGAGAAAGTGAATAAAGTCCTGGAATAAACTGCAGTGAGAAGAGCTCCGGTGGTTGCGTCATCCTTGCGGGTCGAGGGTGGCCGTGACAGTTCAGAAATAATAGAAACTAGAGAACATGTGAACTAGCAAATCAAGTCCCCAAGGAAAAGCAGGGTGACACTATCAGCAATGTCGGAA